GGTTCGAACTCAGGACCTCCCAGTTACTAGGTGAGCTTATAGACCATTCGGTCAAGGGACCCGGTCCAATGGCTTATATTACAGTGTCATATTAGTTTTAAACAAAACAATGATGGGTGTTACTTTGGAAATTTACTGCTTTAAGTAAAAATAATACTCTATGTGATAGTCCTTTTGGCCAACACCGTTATGTCCTTGTAGTCATCAGACATCTATTAAAGTTTCATATACTAATAGTTTCTGACGACCATTTTAACATCCCAAGCTGACAGAACCTCAAAATAATCGAAAATAGTAACTTGAAATAGATCTCAAAATAAGATGTTGGAATGAGTTCAAAAATAATGATGGATTAACGACTGATATATATTATATATCGAAATAAATGGACTACGACAACTAAATAATTAAAAGCATTAAATTATAACCAAGGACAACAGTTTGTGCAGAATGAGATAGTACCATCATTTACGTAGTTAGCCTCTTTTTAGTGGAGTACGGCTTAAAGGAACTATTAAGTTTATGTATAGAAGAGTTTTAACATGCAAATGTTACATAATGTCAGTTGACGGGAGGCTTCAAACTTAATAGGCGATACTCAAAGTGTTACATTTGCATAGTGTATTGCCAGAAAGTTTAAGCTCAAACCAAAATAAATGCTTGCATGCAATGGCAAAGGAGTTATGCAATAAGGACAAGAGGTGAATAAGATGATGAGTAACTAATAAATATAGAAACAGTTTGTTGAGTTCAACTCACATCGCAGAAACGATGGACAAGCAAGTTACGCTATATCAAAAGGGGGGAGGTTCAAACCAAAGATTACGTAATCGAGCGAAAAGGAAAATGAAGACATCCAGTTATCAGATCAAGGAAATACTGGTAGCTGCTCTTTTCTCAACACATTTATCCGGTCCCAGGCACTTGACAGCGAACGTATTGGCAAACCGGCGGCGAATTGAACAATTTCGTCTATTGATAATTGTAAAGGATTTCGCGATGTCCATCTCATGACCCATATTGATGAGATGTCAGCACTATTGGAAGTGTTTGTTCTCTTGAGACGTGGGCTATTCGGCACACTTCCGCAAAATCGAAGGTGTGCCCTTCTCTCTGTTCTCCCAGTGTAACTGTCACTTCAGACACATGTAAATTCGTATAGATGGTTAGAATTAACATGAGAAGGGTATCTATCGGCTTTTGAATGCATTAAAAAGCATTCTGTCCGATACAGTCAAAAGTCGACAGATACCATAAGTATACTGAACTGCTTAAGTGTGACTTCTCAAAGGAAGATTCCAATAACCGAAACCAAATGGATCTTCTGAGACAGAAAGCCTGCTGGCTAAATACATCTTGTGAGGATAATAGAATCCTACATATATTATATATATATATAATCATTCCCTTGCATTCCGGGTGGAACATAGGGCTTCAACAACACATCTCCATTTTGCTCTGTTTTCTGCCATCCTTTTTAGCTGGATGCTCGACTGACGAAACTCTCTCATCTCTTCCTCACACGATCTCCTGCATGTCACACTAGGACGACTCACTTGTCACTTCCCATTTGGATCCCAATCGAGGGCCTGGCGTGCGATGTCATTCGGTGACCTCCTTAATGTATGCCTGATTCTTCTCCACTTTGTCATACATATCCGTTGAGTGATCGGCTCTTCGTTGGTTTGTTCCCATAGTTTCTTGTTGCTTATTCTTTCTGGCCATTTGATCTTCAGCATGGAGAGCGAAGGCGGGTGTTGATGAAATTCTACAACTGGATGTTCAAAATCCTTCTCGTGAAACGCTGGCCAAGTTTCTGACCCGTATAGAAGAACCGACTTCACATTGGTGTTCCTTATGATGATTACGGAAGATTTTCAAACTGGTTTCATGTTGATGAAGGCGTATCTTGCCTTTCCCATTCTAACTCTGACATCTTCATTCGTTCCACCTTATTAGTTACACACATACACAATTTCTCGGAAATGGTTACATACCTTACATAAAGTCAGTGAATACTATGAGTGGACAAATACTTAGTTAATAAACAGCTTGGTTAGACAGCCAGGCTATCATACCTTGTTGTCTTAACAATAAACAAACCAGGTTTCTCAGAAAAATGAATTGAAATAAGCAAAGAAATGTTCATAAGTATTAATTAAATGTGTATGTCGAAACGAAATCTAGAAGTCACTTTTAAAAATAAACGAATAAACAGATATCAGTAAATAACCCATGTTCTTTAACGTGGTGAATAACAGGGGTGGTTCTATAACAATCCATGGAAAGATACCCTTATTACAGCTAGTGAACCAATCAGTCTTCTATAGAACTGCGTTCATCTAACATAAAATAAACTCCAGAATTCAAACATAAAAAGTAGACATTTTCAGAAATACAATATATGAGGAATTCTGCTACATCTAACCACAATAAAATCCTAAGAGTTAGACAGAAAGTAAACTTGAAATTTGATAGCTTTCCTTTTCCATATAAACAGGAATCCATTTTTATCTAAATACTTTGTGAATATTTTTTGAAGTGTTATTAAGCCTTATTCTGAAGAAACATCACCTAGAGAATTTAGCAAAAAAATGAAATCAACTGAAGCATAAAGTTTTTCCCAAGCAATACTGCACACTGCCTTTAATTCAGCTGAATTAAAATTTTGACAGAAACTCTAGAAGTAGTTGAATATACAGCGGTGAACTGGATAACGGACAGAAAATTGCCTTTAGCCTTAAACCCATCGGATTAGATGTCTGAGTCTTGTTGCAAAGGCTTATGTATTCTAGGTACTCTGTTTAAATAAGCTGATGGAGATGGGCTAAGTTAAACCAAGAATTATTTGATATGCTACCCATATTGCTGTCTAGTAATCACAAGGCGTTACTTGATGCACTTGTATAATATTATTCCCTTGGGTTCTGAGTGGAACATTGAGCCTCAACATAACATCTCCATTTCAAACTGTTCTCCGTGATCATCTTTAGCTAGATTTACGATAGCCCATAAGCTCTAATCTCCTAAACACAAGATCTCTTCCGTGCCATCTCAGACGTTCAACTTATCGTTTCATGTGATATCACTCAAGGGTCTCCTTAGAGTATGCCCAATCCGTTCATTTGTATGACATTACACATATTTGCTGGGCGATAGATCATTGGTTGGTTCTTTGGAATGGTTCCTGGTAGCTTATCCTTTCGGTCCATTTGATCTCCAGAATGGAGCGAAGACAAGTTTTGGTGAAAGTCTACCGTCCCTTGAAAATGCTTTTAGTGACGCGCAAAGTCTCTGCACCATATGGAAAAGTACCTACTTGACATTAGCTTTGAAGATACAGATCCTATTGTTGATAGTTAGTGCAGCAGGCTTCCACACCTGTTTCAGAGTAAATAACGTCAGTCTGGCTCTTTACATCCTGCCTGTCTTCGGCATTCTCAACCATATCACCTGTATGTGGATCGGGTCCCAGTGGCTTAATGGTTTAAGAGCTCGCCTTGTAACGAGAAGGTCTTGGATTCGAACCCTGATGGGTGCGTACTGATGAAGAGTCCCAAACTAGGACGAAAAATCTGTCCAGTACTCCCAGCTGGTTTCCCCATGGTTCTCTAACTAATGTCAGCTCATGATGAAAATCCTGTAACCAATCAAATCCCTACAAACCAACACTTGCATATCGCCTGTAGTTGAAATAATGCCGACTAAAAAAGTAAAAGATATGCCTACCTTTAGGTACGGCAGATAATGATAGATATTTTTAGTGGATTTATTATTTAAGCTGCTTCGAGGTTTGTTAAACCAAAAGCCATGAATTTCCCTACTCATGAGTCTTCTCTATTCATGTGTAGGACGTATCCACAACTACCAATAGTTCTACCACTGAATACTTTTAAAGTGCTAACACTTTTTCCGCCTATCAACGAACATTCCTTCATTCAAGTATTGGTTTGTAGGGAATTGATTGATTGGTTTCAGGATTTCATCATCGGTTAGAGAACCGATGTCTGCTCATGATGAAATCCTGCAACTAAACATATCTGTAGTTTACTTGCAAAGGATTGTCAGCACAGAAATATAACAGTTTCAGACAAAATGAAATGAGACCACAAGAGTAAACAAATCTCTCCGTTTTTCTTCCTTTGCTGCAGCTTGTTGTCTTATTCTCCTACACTTCATGGTGTCAATAACAAAGAAATAGAAAGATGAAAATTTGTAAGATCACATTTAAATAGAATTCATTTTCAAGTGTTGGTTTGTAGGGATTTGATTGGTTACAGGATTTTCATCATGAACCATTGGGAAACCAGGTGGGAGTACTGGACAGCTGTTTCGTCCTAGTTTGGGACTCTTCATCAGTATGCACCCACCGGGATTCGAACCCATGACCTTCTGGTCGCAAGGCGAGCTCGTATACCATTAAGCCACTGGAATTCATTTTGATGTCATGTGATTAGATGTAGTCGACAGAGAGTCATGCACGTAAGTTTCCTGCTTGTTAATACCTATCAGAAAGGTGTATCTGCGATGTTTACGGAACTAATGTCCCCCTAGAGATTTTAACCCTTGATACACAGTGCTTTATTCAAAGATATTATCACTGAGGTACTCAGCCTCACCTCAGACCTCCCATAGGACTATAAAAAATGCACTGATTCGTTACTAGGAAGTAACCATTGTCATGTGTTTGGTACCTACCGTTATTCCCAGCTATCAGAATTCACACATTAGTTAGTCCTTAGTCTCCAATCAATAGACAGTTAACTGTTACTTAAACACTATCTCAGGAAATTAGAGCAGCCCATTACATAAGTGATATCCAAAGACTGATTATTTCCTGGAAACTCTTCCGGAATTACTGAACAATTTCCATATTTCTAAGAGTTAAATTTTTTCCACTTATAATCAATAGATTTTAACAAATTAAAAAGTGTCCATCATTTCTGTTGAATCGAAGTACTCCTTTTCATAATCAAGATTGTGTTTTTTTTTACTTTTAGGTACTGCATCTACCAGAATAACCCCACAAAGAATTTAGATGGTTCAAATATGACAAGTACTAGCGAAAAATCTACATCCTCTACTAACAGTAGTTCTAACAAATGGATTCAAATGCCTCAAGACTGTCGTTATACACTTTGGACTGATTGGTCAAGTTGCAGTGCCACCTGTGGTCCAGGTACTATGACACGAGTACGTGAAAGAATATCACCTCAATTAGATAACTGTCAGACATTACTACCGGATGTTGAACAACGAACAACTTGTTTCCTCAAGGCTTGTTAAACAATTTATACGAGAACTAGTCATTTCTGATATTCTTCATTTATTCCTAATCATTAAAAAAGAAAAAATTATTACCACGCATTTAAACAGTTGGAAATGATAGATTTATACTACTTAAGTTACAAAATGACACAATTAAGTGACTATTTATAAACCTGATGGTGGAATAATACACACAGACCAACCATTATAAAATGCATTTCTTTTCGTTTCACCTATTTTCCTTCAATGAAGTGTATTCCACAAGTGATGACTGGAATTTATCAGTATAAATAATGTTCTCTGCATTCCATACTAATTCCTCTGGCATTTTGTTCCTATCTTTCCTGTCCTTCATCTTTGATGTATAACTATGACTATTCTTAGTTTTACTATAATCAATTGTTCTTGTGATTGTTGCAAACTTTTAACTGACTTTAATGGTGAATATTTCTCACCTATTACGTTTTTATCACTTTAAACATGGGAGTGTTTATTTAGTTGACAAGAAGTTGTCCATCACCAGGGTTTTATCAGGAAAGCTTATTACCGACCCGCATCAATCAATGTTGTAGTCACCGTTATCACTACAAAAGAAAGAAACGTTCATCCTGCTACTAGCTAACATCTACTGAGACTTCCCATTCGGGAGCCTATATATCAACAGAGACCTCACCTATAAAACTAAGTAATGGGAATGAGTTTTTTGGTAGCACTGACTACTACAAGCCTGTTTATCATAGTACTATTCTCTTGCGTAACGAGTGGAACATAAGACCCCACGTTTGTCCATAAACTTTCATCTCCTTCCTACATTATCCCTCTCATGTCACTCTTAGAGACCCAGCCAGCCGTTTTCCACTCTGCTTCCCATCGAGGGCTTTGCGTGCGATGTCATTCAATGTTCTTCTCAGAATGTGTTCAGTCCATCTCCATTTTCTTCTGCATAACTGCTGAACACTAAATTGTTAGGTGCTTGGCTGCCTGCCGAAAATCCTTCTTTCTCATTCTTTCTGCCTGGCTATTCAATCTTCAGTAAGGAGGGAAGATGGTTGCTGATGAAAGCCCTCAGTAACCTGTTAGAAATGCTTTTGGTGATAGGCGTGCCAAGTTTCCGAACCATAAAGTAGCACCAACTTGACATGTTCACTTGAAATCCTGTCTTCACTGCTTCTTCTGCTAGTACGAGCTTACAGAATTTTGAACCAGAAATTATGAAGGCTTTAGATGACACGCATTATTAATGGAATATACGACTGAGTATTAAACGAATTTTATTAAGATCTTCACTTTAGTGTGGGTTTAAAGTTAGTAAGATCATTAGTCATCTTGTTTTCATCTAGAGAAAAGCTAAAGCCTTGTTGATCATTAAACGTTGTTTCAAGGGAATAGAACAATTACCTTTTTGATTACCAAACAACAACAGAAGAAAATTAACAAATAAATCTATACACAAAATAAGGAAGGTTATTTTAGGCATAGACTGTGTAAAAATACCTGGATAGAAAAGATTATTTGCATTAATCATCATTTAGAGATTGTTTGATGCTTTAAGAGCTCTGATATTCAATGGTGAAACTTATCATCAGTCTTGGTTACATCTTCAGCACTAATTTCACTAATGAAGTTAATAGGCAGATTGAGTGATTCTCGTCCTTGTACATAGCTATAAACTGTCTCTTTTAATCGTACTGCGTCGGTAGCACAGCGTAGAATGCTCGTCAACCACGCCTCCTGTGGTCCGGGGTTCGATCCCCGTCCACCGACGCACTTTATTACCTCGCTAAGCCAGTAATAAGATTGGTAAAGAGGAAAGGTTGGGCATGAGGCTAGCAACCACATCCAGTAAAAATAAACACCACTGCTACCGAAACTTCAAGTCTCTAGCCTGAAGCACTATCTCCCGCTAGGAACGTAAACGAATAAAAAAATTAATCATTCTGTTTAATTTTGGTTGCTTTCCTGGAAATATAAAAAAAGACTGATTTGTATAAATTTGCGAATATACTTCCAGTACAACGCAAAATTTGCTTAGATGACAGCTTTTTATACACTAGATAAACATAACATAACTCAATCGATATACTGTCATTTTCAGACTTATTTGCCTAAGATAAAATTTCACTGACTTTAGATGACACGTTACTCTGCTTTGCGAATGAAAAAGACAAAGTCTGCATATGATATTAAGTGATCCATTCAGTTTATATCCAAGATTTCAGTCCAATTTAGTTTTCGATTTTAGAGCTTTTAATAACACAGTTGTTATATCTACTGATAGAATAATACTCATTTTTTTGATTCGACACGGAAACGCAATAGACAGTTTCATGGGAGACCGAATATCAGCTATTTGATTGCTAGTTAATTCAGTCCTCTTAGCCCACGAAATAAAGTCAGAAGACACTGCTCCAAGCCAGTGAGAATAATTCAATTTATCAGACAAAATATATCATACATATACATGAGAAATCCTCAGAAAGTTCAACAAGTAAATAACTAGTTTGATTGGCTGCACAAGGTTGGGATTCAAGGTTGTTCAAACACATTATAATAAATCTCCTATCTAACACCAGCAGTTTAAGTGTTGGTTTGTAGGGATTTGATTGGTTACAGGATTTCATCATGAGCTGACAGTGGTTAGAGAACCATTGGAAAACCAGCTGGGAGTACTGGACAGCTGCTTCCTCCGCCCTAGTTTGGGACTCTTTAGCGGTACGCACCCACCGGGATTCGAACATAGGACCTTCTAGTTACAAAGCGAGATCGTAGACCATTTAGCCACTGGGACTCTATCCAATGACCCATAAATTCTACTTTCTGCCAATTCACGGCATAGCGTGACCACTAGCCAGTATTTCTCCTCACACCAGACCTGCTGCACCCTACTGGTTACGACTTCTCACTAGAACCCCAGTTAACTACCTATCTGAATAGGGCAAGTCGCTAGTGAGCATCTCTTTGATATTCAAATGTTGGTTTGTAGGGATTTGATTGGTTACACATAAGAAATAGGTGTGTATTCTGAACAGGAGTCTACAACAATAGAAAAACGTTCTTAGAGTGGATTTTGTTAGAGACTGACATCGATCAGAAGGCACCTTATAAGTGTTTCATCCTAGTTTGAAACTATTCGGCAGTGCAAATGGACTACCTCTTTCCCTTCAAGGACAGACCTTTAAGCCTTCACCTTAGAAGACACATACTTAAGCACTCAGTCAGTGCGTTGTGATTCAGCGTCCCCATGAATTCTAACTTCTATTGATTCAAAAATGTATCTGAGTAACATCAGTGATTAGCTCTTACCTCGCCGAAGTGGACTCTATTGATAATGATTTCTATTCACATAAAGAAATTCACCTGAACTAATGATTAATAAGCAGTTTATTGGAGTTGAAAGGTTCATTTCTTGAGGTTTTCGTCCGCTTCAGTGTATAGTCTGTAATAAACCAAAGTAAATGAGAAGAAACAATGGAAAATATAAAGAACTGGACAAGTGTTTCGCCTTATTCTTGTATAGAATCAATAAATTACAGGATCCCTACTCAGTGCCTGAATGCTAACGTGACAGTGCAGTGAACTAGTCGTCAATTTAATCTTTGGTGAATTTGGAAATATGCACAAAACCAACATTTCACAATCTAAAAGAATGCCAGATAGAAAAATCGTCATCTTCAAAAGATCTACACCGTTAAACTACCTACGTTATTAAAATTATCAATTGGACAGTATCAAATTCCGCATTAGTTATCTGGTAGTTTCAAAAATTTGCTATTCTGGCTGTTATGAGAACTGAAAACAATAAGCCTCTGCAAGCTTAATGTAACAACTGAGGCATAAAAGTAGGCATGGAGATATTTCAATATATTTAGCGGAAACTTTATCAAGAAGACTTTGTATAGACCGGGGGTGACATATCCGGGGTGTCATGTCATGAATATCCAACTAGTTAACCTTTCCAGGTAAATGTGACTGCAAACTCCAGTTAAAGTTGTCTTTTTGTTGCTTTTCATACTAGTAAAAATGTTTGTTAAAGCAGGTGAAACTGCATACCATCTGATATAGTACTTCAGCTATTGTGTCGATAGATGCTAACACTGTCCAGTCAACTGTTACTGATCAACCCTACAAATGCAAAAAGACATCAGATATAGAGACATATGGGAACTGCCTTAAGATATCTGAATTCAGTCCTTCTGAAGAATCGAAGCTGCACTTTATTTACCAAAATGTGCATAAACAGGACGGAGAGTGAGTGTCTCACTACTTTAAAATAGGACTATGCAAGTATATATGTTGAATACTTTCTACCCTAGAATATGTGTATGATTCTGTTATCATTTGTGTTTAAATAACTGTCTGCTTCCACGCCTAACGAAGTATGATGAAATGTTTAAGTAGCAGATACACTGAAAATAGGCTGAATAACTGTCAGGTCATTAAGATAAGCAACCGAATGTTCACCCTGTAAAGGTAGCCTACACATCTTTACTCATGTAGCACTCTGGCTTAGTTTGAGAATGGGAAACGATGAGTTGAACATTGTCGTAAGACATGCAAGAAGAGATCGTTTGAGGAGCTAATAAAATTGTATGGAGATCGTGGGACCAGTTGAAAAAGACTTCAGAGAGCACAATGAAACTCTGATTTGTTTCTAAAGCCGTACGTCCTACTCCTGACCCAATAGAATATTAATTGTAAATAGTCTACCGCAGATCTAAATAACACTATTTTTGAAATATTCAAAATATTTTACCGATGCCCCAAGATAATTGAAACACAATACGTGTTCACAATCATCTGTTAAGTTTTTTGAAACCACTGAGGTTGTTAAGGAAAACTGGTCATTATCGTGCCTAAACAGGCTCCCTTTTGAAGACCATAATGAGTAAAGTTGCTGAGGTGCCTTACTCACAGAGGGTTACTCAATAACTGTACGCACAACATCTTGACAAAGTTTCAGTGACTTATATCATTCCAACACTTGATCGACGACTGGTCATATCAGCTAAATACATAGACCCTGGAGAAATATTTTGAAAACATTCCGACAGAACATTTCATAAAGGTCTTCTGACTTAAACGATTTGAACCCTAGCGAATATCAGAGATTTACAGAATACGTCAATATAGTTGCAATTTGTTATATCCCAACGCACGAAAAGCCTCAAATCTATCAAAGTGCACAATAAATTTCCTGACAACCTTACAAAATTCTTATTCAACTACTCTTCAACAGTTCTGTTCGATTTGAAGTAAGAAGTTTTATGCATGGTCGCAAAATCTTGGAACTTTAAGCTAAATATCAATAGGCATCATACTCACGTGACGAACTACTTGTCTTACTTTTTATTAACTTTTGTTTGGAAATTTTTTCATGAAATTCTTTGAAATAGACTGGCTGTAATCTTGCCGAAGACTGGTTATTTTAAAAAAAAATGA